CACCGAACTCAGATCAAACTGTCAAACTAGACAGTGCTGATCAGATATGGATCCAGATTCTGTTACTGTGTTGACTATTTCTCACTTAAGTTGAGTTATAACTGCGCAGCCAATGAGAGCAGCTCAACTCGCAGTACATCACCTCCGCTGGCTCTTACAAACTATAGAACGCCAAACTTGAGGCTTCAAAATGGTTCTCCACAAACCAATGAGTGACGTCAGGTTTAGTTCACACTTGGCTCCAAGCTAGCTGTTTCCCCCTGTTTCCAGTCTTTGTGCTGAGCTAACCGGCTGTTGGATATAGATTCATGTTTACCGCACAGACACGAGAGTGATATCAATCTTCTTACCTAACTCTCAGCAAATAGAGAATAATGTCAAAGTATTCTTCAAAAACAAATATTGTTTGTATTTGTATTTTTTTTACCCTCAAATATCGATATTGGTAATGGCTTGAGAACACCCCAGGTCAGTCTCTGTAACAATAAAACCAAGCATCCCTCTGGCTGAATTCTGCACAGCACAGAGAATAGCACAGAATGTATGGGAACATGGAGGTAATGTAGGTGACGGAAAGATCCTGATGTGGGTCTTCGAGTCCCACAAGACGCTGTGTGTGATACTGAGCTATGGAAGTAAACCTGACAGTGAGCGATGAGTCAGTGAGCAGAGCAGAACAGTCTCTGACCTTCCTCGGCCAATGATTACTTGAAGCAACATTATACCTTTGTTGCTTCAGTTGCACACTAACAGTGATGTAAGACACTTCTTTCCTCATGAAATCTTAATCCATCACAGCTGTGCCTTTATTCGTGCACAGGAGAGAGAAGCAGTTCATGCTCCAGTTAAAACATCATTTAGTTTTGATTCCAGTGGCTGTTTTAAAGATCATTTCTTGGTTTCAGCTGCAGAGACAGCAATCCTCTGCGGGACGTCTTCACTGTGCAGCGTCCTGCAAGGGTTACCATGGTGACGACCACTGACCTCAAGACCGCAGACCAAGAAGAGAAGCTGGAATGGAGTAAGGGTGAAGTGACATTGATCTACAGTGAGGAGGCGGGCACTCAGATCATTCAGCACCAGGATTCTCTGACAGACTACTGCTCCATATCATCCAACTGCTCCCTGGAGCGGCCGGGGTCAGACTGTTCCAGCACTGCGGGCCTCGGCTCATTAGCCAGCCGCAGCAGTGCACCGCTTCCTGCAGACTGGGAGGAGACGGGCGGGGACCAGGATCAGCACCAGCAGGGGTCCGCCAACCCTGAGTCTTATCTGGACTCCGCAGAGATCGTGGACCCCACACCGCCTCATTTGCAAGCCTTCACTGTGCTGCCGGTGAACGGAACTCTGTGGATCCCCAGGTACAGAATGCTGCACACCATCTGAACATGACAGCAGCAGCAAATGATTATGATGCAGTTAAATAAGGCCAGAGCTAAAGGTATTAAACATACCACAGTACAACTGTAATACCCACATTTAAAAAACTTGGTAGTAAGAATATACATACCTTTCATTTAACCATATGAGAGTTACAGTATACTATAAATACCTGCATTTATAAAATGCACAGAAATATGAAAGAAAAAATTAAATGATATGTAAATATACATAAATCAGTAATCAAGTAATCAGTTCTAATAAATAATCTTACAAAATCCTAGGCACTTTGTTTATATAATTTATGTGTTGAAAATATTGTAACATATTCACAAAAGGTGATCTTCTCTCTCTCTTCCCCTTTTTCCTTGACAGGCAAAAATTAAAAAAAGGTTATTGTTGACACACCTATAGTTCAACAGTTTACATCATTGATTAACAATACTTGAATCCCTGTCAGGTCCCATATTCCATATTACCTGCCTGCTATACTCACTATATTCTCTAAATGCTTCAAATCTTTGCTGGCTTTGTCAGTTGATTGAGTCCGTGTAGATATATGTATGTAATGTATGTGCAACCTGTTTTCATTTAGTGATGGTATATCTAATAAAGACTTACATTATAGCTCAAGTTGAACTCGCAGGTGCAACTTTATTTAGCACCGTAACACAGTGTTACTCATATGCAATGAAAAGGCCATATTTATGCTCATCACACGCTCACATTCACCGTGTGTGTGTGTGTGT